GTCCCAATGTTTCAAATTCTAAACCATAAAAATGTTACTTAAAATAAATAAAATAAAAGGTAAAGAAATTCTTGCAAGCTGGATTTTTTAAAGCATAATTTTACTTCTATGCATCTGGGAATCTCTAAGAATGCATGCATTTATTTGCAGTAAATGAAGTAATTCATAGTTATATATATATATAAAACTTTCTTTTTTAAATATATTCTGTACAGAATTCTTTTTAATGTGTAATTTTTACATTACATTTAAAATAGTTTTACATCAGATGGACAAGATCATCGTATCTCTGGGTAATCTGTCTGAAACCCAGTTGTTCGTACATCACTGTAGTCTCCCCAAAACACAGACCGGCTTCAGTGTCTGATCACAGACACACCCAGACAGACTGCATCACGTGCAGCTAATTATGCATAATCATGGAAATTACAAATGTTTACTGGACTCATATTGAACTCCAGTGCTGCTTGGACATCTGTCTGAAAACAACGGCCTTTGATTCACAGGAATTTTCTTTATTATTAAACCTAATTCCTTATTTCCTTGTAATAATCAGATGCATTCCCTGCTTAATAACACATGCTTCTATACATATTCTTTTGGTACTTTGATTGGCCTAACTTTCAAATGAAGATTATTGAAATGATTGATTGCGGCAGTGTGATTACTAAGAGGAAAATGTAACTGCATTGAGTCATGACACTCACTGAATCACACACAACTGGAGAGACATCACAGCCTAAGATGGCAGTGTCACAGATGCAAAAACTCACTTACAAGGTCAATACTACTTCCTGCTGGGAAGGAATGATGTTTATTTTCTGAGGAACTGCCTTTAGTTTGCTTCCTTTAGGGGTACATTAGCTCAATGCTGATCACTTATGAGACGTTTCCACTGCTAACAGGAAGTTTACAACAGGCAACTTCAGTTATATAACAAAACCCACAAGGTTTCTGGATTTAAATGTAAAACCACATGCATACTTGTCTCTAACAAATACACAGAGTAAACATGTAGCCACATACAACCATACATAAGGATGTAGCTTATCTGCATTTTATGATTTTCTGGCAAGATTCTGAATGAGACATGAATGAATGAAGCAAGATCATCGGGGAATAGAACGAAATCATAAATAAGCACAGAAAAGAAAAGAAGAAAAAAGACATTAGAGTCAGATGCAATTAACCTAGACATTTATGAAGGCCGAAGTTACATTTATAACATCCATGCGGCATAATTGCAATGGTGCTACGTGTGATCACTGTAAATGAAAACCCTCTATAATTTGAAAATCATTTTTTTAGTCCAAACTGACAAAATATCCTCAAACATTTGCCATGTCTAGTTAATAAAAGTTATGAAGGATAGGCTTTAACAGCAAGCAAGCAAACAAGACAAAAATATTTACAAATGGGCAAAACAAAAGCTTTTTTAATAAACATTAAAAACATGAATAAATTAATTATGATAATTCTAATAAACATCCCCAAGGAGATCTGCATAAAAACAAAGAAAACAATAATTTATACAATAAACTAATAAATCTACCCAACATTAACAGCATTCAGTTCCACTGATTTAGAGTTGTTACATTCATAAAAAAGTTAATTTTGTGACCAAATACAGAAAAAAACATAACTGATGCATATATTACTGTTTTAAATGATGCATAATTTTATCTATTATAAATAAAATTATTACTTTAAAACCAAAAATTACTTTGCAAATGTTTTATTTTATTTGTATTATCCGTATTCCTCACTACAAACTGTCTGTCCATTGTTTTGGGAGGAGGTTGAGGACTGAACTGTGCATGCACAGACCCAGCGTTGTCACCGTTGAGTGCATTGTGCACAATATTTTTTCCCAAATGTTGCCTTTATTGAGTGTTACAATGAACCCTGCTTCCCCTCTAGCTGTGGAGAGTGTCAGGTGAAAAGACAGCAGACAGCTGGAGAACAAAAGCACATCCCTCCATCACACAGGAATATGAAAGAGCGTTGCTTGATTAAACCAGTTTATGTTCAACAAACAAGCGGATGTATAAAAGAAACATTTGTCAAGGACTCACACACACACACTAATCAGCATGTGACCCACATACTATGATGCATACATGTTCACACATCTGTTGGGGTCTTACAACACACACACACACACACACACACACACGTAAAAACAAAAGACATTGATTATCTAGAAGAACATGACTCCTTCCTCTCCGACTCGCTCTGTCGCAGGTGTTCTTTTATTTTTATGTGTGTAAAGACGTCACACACGCCAATTGCTTTTACTCACAAACAGGAAGTCACACATCTCCCTTAGGAAATCCCTAAAAATGTTTGTTGCTGTTGATGCATCAGTATTTTAGGCACATAAAGGACTTTCCGTAAACAAGCTTTTCATTTCTCGTTATTTCAATCGTTCGATGAGTCTATTCGTCTCTCTTTTCACTCCCTCTCCCTCCTGTTCTCTGCCCAAGGCCTTTTGTGTCTTTGTACAAAATTGCCATGTTCTGTCTTATTAGTCACCCCAAAGAGGAAAAAAAAGAAGATGTGTGTCAGAATAATTAAAAGGAACACACAACAAACAAATAAATAAAAAGCACTGCTGAGCCACAGCTGGTAAATTTGTGTTTCATTTATTGAGGAAAGGAAAATAAACCAAAAGAATCTCAGTCAGGTTCCTACAAGAAACCTTTTTGGTTCTGCTATGATAAAGTGCACTTACAGTTATCACACTTTCCATTAGAGTTTGAGTCCTGGTATTTCTCTCTCAGACACACAAACACACACATTGTACATCTCTTTTTTTCTGGACCTAAAAAAATACACAGAATAAAAGATGACAAAACAGACAGGTGTGTTTTTGCATACAAAGTGTGTAACTGACAGTCTAATCGGTTTTTAACATATCCAGATGTTCATGTATGTGTGTGTGAGGATTCAATCCACAGTATTAAGTAGTTACAGTACTTTTAGTTTAGGCTACTCTACAGAACACACTTCAAAATCATCCAGGTCACCATAAGGGACCTGATTGAGATCATACCATCTCTGACAAACACTCATCAGCTTTTAATTTCTTCATTTGCAACCATGTCTTCCCCTCCCCATGCGAATAGCAGGTCAATTTGAATAGAATCATCTAATGTTTTAAAAATATAATTTATTTCTAACCAATATGTCTACATAATATTTATGTACAGTTTCATGACACAGAAATATCTATTTCATTTTCCAGTTCGAAGGACAGTGAGTTTCCCACCACAATTTTGGCACATTTCTGTTCATTTTGATCACTAACGAAACAAAAGAACAGGCGTGGAAGAGAAACGTGGTCTTAGTACCAATAAAACATCTTCAAACAACCACATATGCGCCTCTTTTTGAGAAACAAAACTTTGCTGGCATCACTGGGAAACTGCAAATGAAAGAACAACTGTCCAAATAATCAGTCAGCATCTGTCGAGCCTCTGGAAACAACAGGACAAACACAAACACTGCATAGTCGATCCCACATTGTGTTGTTACACAGTGTTCATACATCTATATTGCATGTAGTGTGGCTTTAACATATAATTACACATTATAATGCTGGTTGAGGAGTGTGAAAATACAGGTAACACAAACCTAGACTGGATGAATCAACACCATTAAACCTCCTCTAGTTTTTTTCCCTAATAACTTACTATACTGTTGTGCTGAATGTTGTGTGGACGGACAAAAAAGGCAAATACATAAATCATGTATTTCAGTTGTGGGCTACTTTTACTCCGAGTAACACATTATTTCTGAGAGAATAAAACGGTAAATTAAACATTTGCCTTAAATAAAAACATAAAAGAAATCTATACACTAAATAAACGGGAGTACCGATCAGTTGTGTTTCTGAAAAAAAAAAAAGTGTAAAAAAAAATGTTGGTGTAAAATGAGCATGGAATGTTTATCTTGTCCCTGTATTGCACCTTGTTTCCCTTCGGAGACTATTTCAAGTCAGTCTCTCCCATTTATATACAAAATTAAATGTTAAAAAAATCAGGATTAACGGAACGTTTCCGTACTGTTTTTTATGAAGTTCCCCATTTATCCGAAGTCAGATTCTCTCCTGACTGAACAACGTATATTAAACAGTAAAAGCCCTCTCAGATAAAAGCTACTCACATCACTAAATTGAAGTAATTGTGCGCATGTTCTTATCGTAACAGCGACAACCTATCAGATACTTCGATAAGCCCTAAACCTAAACTTTACTGACCGCATTGCAGTAATCTCAAGACTGGTGCATTTCAAGTTTCTCCTACCACTGATCTCACATGTTCAAGTCTTTCATGTATTAAAGGAATAGTTTACTCAAAGATGAACATTTGCTGAAAATGTACTCGCCCTCAGGCCATCCAAAAAGTGGTTGTGCTTGTTTCTTCATCAGAACAAATGAGAGTCCATGCAGCTGATAAAAACAATGATCCACAAGAAATCCACGACTCCAGTCCAGTAAGTAGTTTCTTGTCTAGCAAAAAGCTGCATGTTAGTAATAAATTCATCGATGTTTTAAACTTAAACTGTTGCTTCCAGCTAAAATACGAGTCTATATATTTCATAACGCTTCCATCAAAATTAACTGACATATTTGTTTATAATTGCTTTGACTTTGCTTTGTTTGATCCGTTCATATTTACATTTTTTTCAATTGATAAAGCAAATATTATGGACATTGTATTCTAGCCGGAAGCAATGTTTTGAAATTACAACATCTTAATGATGGATTTGTTCTTTTACAAACTCACTTTACACTTTATCTTTACACGTCACAAGCTGTTAACTGGAGTCATGTGAATTACTTATTATTGTGATGTTTTTATCAGCTGTTTTGACTCTCATTCTGACGGCACCCATTCACTGCAGAGGATCCATTGGAGAGCAAGAGAAGTAGACTAATGCTAAATTTCTCCAAATATGTTCTGATGAAGAAACAAACTCATCCACATCTCGGATGGCCCGAGGGTGAGTACATTTTCAGCGAATTTGTGGGTGAACTACTCCTTTAACACCTCAAAGTAATGATAAAATGAAATGCCACATTATTTTACTTTGTAAAAATGACCAGGGACCAAGTTACAACATCTATTTAGGAGAAAAAAAGATGTATTCAAGCCAACTGGAGGAAGTAAAGCAGGAACTAAAGGTGAGATTGAAGCAGACTGCTTTGTGGGATGAAGTCAGTCGGGACCAGCAGATTTGGGTGAACCTAACAACAAGAGCTGACTGCAAGGTTGTTAACACTTGTAACTAAGTAAGGCCATTACCTATAATGGAAGTTAGGTAACAACAGTGTTAGATAAGGGAGACAAAAGCAGCATTTCATCGGCCTTGCAGTTCTGCCCTTTTTCTTTGTTACTCGAAGAGAGCAAAGAATTCAGTAGGACAACTTTTGAAAACTCTCTCGGTAACAAGACTGCAACTATTTCTGGATGAAAAGCAAAGTCACTTCAGAGCAGCTGCCTGCATGACTAAATGCAGACACACAAACACTCACAAATACACTCACTCATGTAACAGACCGCTCAGAATCAAAATTTCATTCCCACAACATGCCAAACTCCAAAACAAATTGTCACACAGTGCAAACAGCCCCTCTGATGACCAGGACTGGACTAGGATGTGCGGATTCAACCAGCTACTGGGTAAGAGTCATACGAAGGAGGACTGATGAGTGGGCATCACAGTATGGAACATCTAAAGTGACCCGAAACAGGTCCCTGACCTTGAGCCAGAGATCGAGAGAGAGAATCCCTCCTCCTGATTTCAGATACCCAGGATGAGAGGCACTTTCCTGGGCATTGAACGAATAGAAGCAGTGACCCTTGCTAGACTACCAGGACTCATTGCTCCTTTTGTAGCTTTTTGATTCCTTCATGTTTTCAGAAGTATTGTAGTTGAGTATGTTGTGATTTTTATTTTTTTGTTGTTTTGCTTTTGTGTTACTTATTGTTGTTAATAAAGTGCCTTCCAGATGCAGGTGACTGACTTGAGGGTCAGATTTGAAGATGTGTTTTTCCCCCACAGAGTGCAGCGAGATTGGGAAATGTCATACTGGCACATGGGATTACAGAGGGCTTTTGGCACTCAGTCTCAGCTGGAGACCCTGAGTATGAGATGAGGAAAAGGAGAGGGATGTGGAAAAGGAATCTAGCGGATGTCATCTTCACAAATACCCTTCCTTTTGATCCTCCTCTGCTCTTCATTTGTTCCCCCTCTGCTCCTTCATTCTCTAGACTGATAGAACAGGATGTATCCCGACTCAGAGTTCTTGGAAATGTCAGAAGTCAAACCGTAAAACTCCTCTATCGCCTGTGCATCAATTTTCTGTAAGAGAAATGGAAAGGAATAGATAGAGAAAAAATGTTGAGAAAAAGCAGGAAAGAGAAGCGTTGTATTATGCATGCATTAGGGTTTATATTTTGACTATATGCTACTATTCAAAAATTTGGGGAACGTTTTTTAAAATGTTTTTAAAAGTCTCTTATGTTCACCAAGGCTCCATTTATTGATAAAAAAATACAGTACAGATGTTAAATATTATTGCAATTAAAAATAACTGTTTTCTATTTGAATATATGTTAAAATATAATTTATTCCTGTGATGACAAAGCTGAATTTTCAGCAGTCATTACTCCAGTCTTCAGTGTCACATGATCCTTCAGAAATCATTCTAATCTGCTGATTTGCTGCTCAAGTAACACTTCTTCTTCTTATCAACGATGAAAACAGTTGTGCTGCTCAATATTTTTGTGAAAACCATAAAACGTTTTTTTTTCTCAGGATTCTTTGATGGATAAAAAGTCCATAAGAACAGCATTTATTTGAAATAGAAATCGTCTGTAACATTATACATTTCTTTACTGTCACTTTTGATCAATTTAATACATCCTTGCTGAAATCTTGCGAGAAGTATTAATTAAAAAAAAAATCCCACTGACCCCAAAATTTTGAACAGATATTTATATATATGTACAGGTGCATCTCAATAAATTAGAATGTCGTGGAAAAGTTCATTTATTTCAGTAATTCAACTCAAATTGTGAAACTCGTGTATTAAATAAATTCAATGCACACATTTCACAATTTGAGTTGAATTACTGAAATAAATGAACTTTTCCACGACATTCTAATTTATTGAGATGCACCTGTATATAAGGTTCATACCTCAACAATGTCATCATCAAACAGCAGCCAGAAGCCATGACTCTTCACAATGGTGATGTAATGCCCTCTGTTTGGGCCACTAATACACACAGTTACAGAGGCAGTGTTTAAACTTTTGAAGGAAATCAACTTATATTTTAAATATCTAGACAATGGATATTTCTTCTTTCTTCAATGGATACTATTTTACCATAAAATATTCAAAAAGACATAAAAAAAAATCCCAAATAAAATCCTAATTTTTTTTTTTTTTAAACCTATCTCTTTTCTGATTAATTTATTCTGCTTCATTCTTAAGAAAAAACATTACCATTATAGTGTACATTCACACTACGATAAATATATTTGCACCATAGTTTGTTGAGGCTTATATGGTCAGTATTTATAGCATATGACTTAATGTAGCGACATGGCAGACTGTGTTAAGACTGTGTTTGTTTTTATATGTTGCAGATGTACATGTTTGACAGTTCTCATACCTGCCACAGTGGACCACCACAGCGACGAGGTCGTACATGCGGTCGAGGTTGACTGCGTCTCCGGAGGTGTTGAAGAGGCGGAGCTCCAGTGGAAAGACCACACGATAGCTCAGTTTAGTGTACCGATGCAGCTGCTCCATGTACTTAAAGCGCTTCAGATGAAGAGCCAGGATCATGGGCAGCTTCTTCACACGCATACTGCAACATACACACAAGAAATTCACATTGCAGTGTATAGAGCAGCACCAAAGCATTTTTTTTTCACAAAAAAAGTACTTTGTTAATTTCACTGTTTGATCCAGGCCTCAAAAGCTACATTATTAAATCAAATGACACACACAAACCTATCCTGGAATGGTTTGTAACTGGAATACTAGTATACTATACCATATATAATGTGTAGTGTAAACAACCATCTTTTAAAATAGCATGTGCAAAAGTAAGCAATGTTTGATGTTGCAAACAATATATGCAAAATTTTTCTCATGTAATTCTCCCGTTGTTATTATCTTAAACATAACTTCTTTCCTGTTTTTTTTATTTTTGTGTCTAAACTAAAATGTCTAAACTTGTGGCAGTCTGATCAAACAATGATTAAAACAATGTTAAAATAATGTTTACTAATCATGTGCACAGTAAATGTACTGTTAAAATAGTACAGGGTGAATTCACTAAATAAGTTACTCCACTTTTACAGCATTTCAGCTTAACCCTTGTGCTATGCTGAAAATCCTTTATCCCCTAAACCCCCCCCCCCCCCACATCTTTACAAAATTGCTTTTAAATATTTCAATATGCTATATTATCAGCAAATCTTGGATTTAATCTACTTTTCTTTCGAAGAATTTTCAATGGTTTCGTATTTCTTATTGGAACTGATTGGATCTCATTGATCTGAGCTTGAATCTCAGTTTTTGAACCCTAAAGAAATACAAAACCTAAAAGAAAACAAGTTGATAAAAAGACTGAATCCAATATTTGGGAAAAAAAACCCCAGCATAATGGGAGATTTACAAGTAATTTTGACTGGCCTACAAAAAATCCTAGGAAACAAGGTAGGAAAAAAATCCTAAAAAGGTACAAACATTATCAGTTATTTGGGGGGAATATCCTATATGAGCAAAGTCTGTAAGTTTTAATCAAATGCAATAACATTAGCATTTTTGTGAAAAAAAAAAAAATCCTCTTCAGGTCAAAATGACTGGAACACAAAATGTAGGTTAATTAATGAGTCTATTCACATAAGTATAGTAGTATGTCATTCTGAAACCTTACATGCACTACCACACTATATCAATACACATCCGACACAATGACGCTCACCGTTTTTGTGCCTCTTGTTTGCTACAGCACATCTCACAGTAGTATTTATACTCACTGCACAGGGTCTCTGTATTACTGAAGCCCCTGTAAAAGCCACCAGAAAAAACACATCTATCAAAGAGCATAAACACAGGGGAAAACAACTGGTTGTGTACATAAGCATGCGTGACTACTGTTATGTTACAGTGTTTTTATATGTCTACCTGAGACAGTGTGTTATTGAAGTGTTCTGCTCAACATCTACAGACAAATCCAAAAAGTCTTCATCCTTGCTACTGACCTGTAAAAACAAAAGGACATGTGAGTTCACAAAGCATTTGAGAAAGAAGAGAACATATCTCTTCAGAAAGTGTGATCTCGCCACCCACAGAGACAATATTAGCTGTCAAGCATCTTCAAGGGGCAGAGAGTTAGTGGGGACTCATTTCTACAAAGATGTTTATCACGCATGTTGGCGACCCCTTTCTACGAACACCCGTTTCAGCTGGCGAACGGGTTGCACTCTGTTGACCTGATTGTCTCCTGTTGTCTTGCACTTATTGCAGAAAGCCACGAGTGAGGATGTGTGAGAGCACAGGCGTGTAACGGCGTGATAGCACTCAACTGTAGTCTAGCGGCAATGTGTTAATGCGAAGAAAAAGTAGGTTAGTCAACAGAAAAGACTGAAAAGTGGGTCACACGATAGAGAGATGGTAGTTTCTTTCCTCAGGCTGCAAAATTCAAAGGATTGACCGAATGTCGTTGTATAAGACAACTCACAATAAAAAAAAAATCAAACAATCCTTTGTGTCTAACAGAAGAGCACTCCGATATTAAAAAAAAATTAAATACAGCTTTGCTCATACATTTACATATCCCTTACAAAATTTAGATGATTAGAATTTTATTAACTATATATTATTTTTCATTAATATTAAAAATAGGCATAAAAGTGTTTATTATACATTTAATTTTTAAATATGACGTTTTATTTAGTATGTCCCTGAAGATGCTGCATATATTTCAGTATATATATATTCATAAAAAAAAAGAATAATAATTAATAATAAAAAAAAAAAATGTATCCTGAAAAAATGTATTAGATTCGATATATTGCTTTATGATTCAGGCTTTTTTTAAATATACACAGAATTAAAAGATATAAATTCAGAATTTGGACATTGTTTCTCTGAATTCCAAGTTTACTTCTTGCAATTAAGATTCTTGTTTCGGCCATGGAATAAAAAAAAAAAAAAGTAACTGCGACTTTTTATCTTAGAATTAAATGTAATATCTTTAGTTTATATCTTGAGTTTATGTCTCATAATTCTGTGTTTAAGTCTCACAATTCTGAGTTCATATCTCATAATTCTGAGTTTATATCCCATAATTTTGTGTTAAAAATTCGCAATTACCTCTATTTTTTTCAATTCATTCGCAGAAACTGGCTTCCATAGCTATATTAGTCAAGTCAAGTCAAGTCAAGTCTGCTTTATTGTCAATTCTTCCTGCACATAGCAACACTCTTACCGTCTCACAGTTGAGACAGCGTGTCTCATTGGTCAGCGTGCCCTGGAAGATATCGTGAACCCAGGTAGGCTCGGCCTTGTTCTGTTCTGGCTCGGTGTCCGTGGCGATGGCAGTGCCGTTGTTCTTTAGTCGTCCGTTCTGTTTTTCCTGTTTCTTCTCCTCTTGCAGGATGTCAGCCACCGTGTTCAGCAGGTAGTTCAGGAACTCGTGGGCGTCCTGCTGCATGTAGTTATCAAACAGGTCTATAGGAAGAGCCAGAGAGCAAAACGTGTAACATTAGCTAGCAATCCTGCAAATGACTGTGAAGGAACTACAGTGGTGTGAAAAAGTGTTGGCCCCCTTCCTGATTTCTTATTTTTTTGCATGTTTGTCACATTCATTCAGTCAACATTGAAAACATCTTGTTTCCGCAAATTTCTGACCAGTCCGTTACCATTCATGAAGGTTACACAATGAAAGTGCGTCATTTGTAATCTGCCAATTTGCTAATGGGCACTTGGTTGTTGGCACCACAAGAATTAGGGCCCTATGATTTCCAAGATGCGGAACACACAGACAGAATTTAGCTATTATAGACATTAATGCGGAATTTGGCAAAAAAAAAAAAAGTTTTATGAATTAATTTGATTACCACAGTTCTGATGATAGATTTGTATTAAATCATAAAACTTCGTACCCTGAAAATATTTAAATGGAATTTGTGAAAAAAATCAAATGAATTTTTTTATAATTAGACTTTTTGACTATTAAAATGTAATAAAAATGGAATCCAGAAAAATTTAAATTGAAAATAAGGAATTTAAATAATAATAAAAAATAAAAAAAATCTGCGACATCCAGTGAATGCTATTAAAAGCCCTTCAAAAATATATTACCGCTCAAGATTTTTTATAATTGCTTTGGGTAAAAAGTCTTATACTCACCAATTCTGCTTTTATTTGATCAAAAATAATGTAAAATATTCTGAAATTTTATTACAATTTAAATGTTTTCTATTTGAATATATTTTAAAATGTAATTTATTCCTATGCAGGAAAAGCTAAATTTTCAGCAGCCATTACTTCAGTCTTCAGTGTCACATGATTTGCATTTAGTGTCACTTTTGACCAATTTAACATATTCTTGCTGAATAAAAATTAATTTCTTAAAAAAACTCTTACTAACCCCAAGATTTTGAACTAAATATATGTATATATAAATATATAATATTAGATGTTGCAAAATTATTTATTTGACCAAAATACACAGCTACTTTTGAATGAATGTCAATGCAGAAAGATGCATTTTGCCTTCATAATGGTGTAGTTACAGTATCTACCAGCAGTGGTTAACTAGGCCATGTTAACCAGCCAAACCTCGATCCCTTGGTTCCCTCACCATTCTCCTTCCGCAGACGTGAGATGAACTTCTTGGGAGGGATCACGCCCACCTTCTTCTTCTGCGTGGCGATGCTGTGGAAGAGGTCGGCCAGACAGGTGAGACGGTTCTCCTTCTTTTTCTGCTGTACTTTATATGCCAACACATTCTCCCTGAACGGCCGGCAGAGGAAGAGGTCGGCCAGACAGGTGAGAAGGTTCTCCTTCTTCTTCTGCTGGACTTTATAAGCCAACACATTCTCCCTGAACGGCCGGCAGAAATACAGAGCCTGCAACACTGAGTTACAGTAGCACGTGTTCCCAAACTAGAGAAAAAGACAAAGAGAGAGGAATTCATTCAGGCTGAGCTAATCAATCCTTGAGCGGGAAACAAACAAAGGACACTTGGGACGCAATTAAATCTGATTTATGAAACCGAGAGATAAAATCTGGAAGAATGCCAGGAAAGAAATGTGCCAGACACGGGTCAAACACAGAGAACCCCACCAAATGTGGATCTGCATGAGACATTTACAATCAAGAAAACTTGCTCAACACTAAAAGCAAATAAAATGGTTGAAAAAAACTAATGGTGGAATCAAAAGCTCTTTAAAAACATGACCTGCACGGGCTGAAAGAGCAGCACTTGCTGTTACCGTGACAACAGAGCATTGTTTCCCTTCCAAAGGTCTTTTCCTGTTACCTCACACTGACAATAGAGTTGTTTTAGGGGCTTTTTGGCATTTTTATTGACAGCGAAAGCAGAGAGATGACAGAAATTTACCGGAATAAGAGAGGGAAACAGGAACAGGATAGAGATGCCATGAGTATTCGAAAGTGACAAAAATGACTGAACATGAAAACACAATAATAAACATCGAAATGCAGTGATTAGGGGCAAATGGGCTGAAACTCAACACTGTGGTCTTATTAAAAGTGTTTTCAGGTTAACACATCATTAGTGCATCAATATTTTGCAGAGGTACTTTTTTCTTGGCAACAGTGTGTTTAGAATTAAAACTGTTTAACTGTCATCATGGTGCATGTTTTTTTTTTTTTTAAATCTCACCTTTGTTGACGAAGTTACATATTTACATAACACAGATCCCTAAATTCAAGAAGGATGCAGATATAAACTTACCTCCAGGAACGCCACAGTTTTCTGTGTGGCATTCTAATATATACTCAGACACATAATTTTGGTATCAAACTAACCATTTCTCTCATTTTGCTAATTGCTTTTTTTTATCGTCACATTATGATGGCAATAAATAAATTCTTAATTAAAATGAAAGCAATTCTAATTAGATCAGGCTGACAGTTTTCCTATAAATCTAAATAAAGAAAAATAATGATAATAACTGTGATAATAACTATAATAACTAAAAAATAATAATAACTGTGACCTAATTTATGTGAACCTCTTTCTAATCTAATAAGTGACAGTAAAAACAATAACAACTGTGACTTGATTTCTGTGGATCTCCTGATGATTCACTGAATTACTGAATTAACTGCTCGGCAGCTTGACCTGAAAGATTCAGCTATAAGACTGAACAGTAACATGTTCATTAATCACACCAGCTGCACTAATGGCAGCAGGAATAAATTCAGCTTTGTTAAGCTGACATGTTCTGCAGTAAAACATCAAATGCTAATATATTTTGCAGAAGAGTACAAAATAAACCACTCACTTCTGTTGAAAATAACAAATTAAATGGTTAGCAAAGGTTGTGAACTGTGCTTTTTTGCCAGCTCAGTGAAACATTTCAGCTGGTTGCTTTGTTTCGATGCTGTGGTCTTCCTCAAATTTACAATGAATAATGTTGTTAGGTATGATAACATGCACAAAACTGAGAAAACCAAGCTACTCAATGCTTCACTGAACAAATATGCAAACCGTTACCATGTGTATAATATTCTTTTGCTCCCACTGGCTCACATGTAAAGCGATGTGTCTGTTTAAGGGTTAGTCTGGCGCTGTGTGATACTTACGTTGACCAATCCAAAGTAGTGTTCATTAATGGGGAACTGCTCTGGACCAATGTCTTTCTCCAGAGCAGAGGCATTGGTGCCCTGAAACAGAAATGTAGAGAAAAAGTAAAAGACTTGGCAATTACACTTTAATTTTACATTGAATATTCATTCTCATACATCACATTTTAAGACAAAGTGATAAGACTCACAGCTAAAGACATTTATGTCTAAAGTTTTCTTTCTCTAAAACTCCATGACGTGACATTAAGCCACCAAAATGAAAATATGAGGTACAAAATCACCATGTACTGCTGGAGAATGACTCGTTTATGATGCTGCAAGTGACACAATAATGTTTGCTTTTTATAGCACTATATCATTAGCAGTCGGTAAGACATAATTATGGCTTTTTTAATTCACATGCCATTGCCAAGTGTGGAATACTATCAATAAATACCCATGCTAAAAGTGAATACAGAGAGGTGTTCTGGTTTTAGTCATTTAGAAACTAACATTTTTTTTTTTTTATACAAACAATAACTATGTTCAACTGCTGATAACATTCACAATAACTGCAAAAAAATCCGTGGGCAGTTAGGTATATGTTGTTTGAAATCCAAACCATTCAAACTGATAATCAAGGATCAAGTGTTGTAATGGTCTAATTTATCAGCAACTGGGTGACATGAATAATGGATAGAACAACTAAGCAGAATGATGCTGGATAAAAATCCATGACAGAATGTAACTGAATCAGCAGGACAAGCTCAGAGTTTCACTTTGGCCTCAGTACAATGGGACTCCAGACGTTTTCTCTTCTAACACTGAAACCAGTGACAGATCACAAGAGATAAATTCGCTGTTCAAAAGGTACTAGCCACACATCTACAGTATGTATTACATGTATTCACTTTTTATTCTTTGAAATTTTACCTAGAAATTGCCAGAAATGTCACTGAATATGACAAAATGATAAAGTGATTTGAAGGCATGTCTTATATTATATATTTATTATTCAGTAATATGTAAATACGGTGGTCTTATTTTAGCATGTTTAGGCATCAGACATTAGAAACCGAAGCCATTTTGCAAATCGCAAATCGCAGAGGATGTTTTCAGTTCTGGCATTTAATGTATGTGTCATAGACTAACAAAAGATTAGGGAAAATTTTATTCCATATGATACAACCCCTTTAAAATTTGAAGACAAAATGCTCCAATAATGAGGGATTACTGTGTAATGATATCATTAATAACAGCTCATTTTGAATTTGATGTTAGTTTTATTTTATTGCTTAACAGCCATAATTGTTCAAATTAAGAATGTATTTCAGGTTACAGATTAAAGTAGTGTAGTTTTGTATGGATATACAATATAATAATATATAATTATAATAATCATAAAAATAAAATCCCCTAAAAATGTAAAAAAGGTGGCAATTTGAGGGGACATATTGCCCTTTATTTTTTATTTATTTTGTTATTTTTTCAAAGAACTGCACGCTACGGTTCAAATGTTTGGGGTCAGTACGATTTAAAAAAAATAAATTAATACTTTTATTCAGCATTGAGACATTAAATTGATCAACAGTGACAGTAAATATATTTATATTGTTATATTGTTGATATTTAGATTTCCATTTTTTAAATGCTGTTATTTTGAACTTTATTTGAACAACAAAAAGTATCACATTTTCCACAAAAATATCAAGAGAAACTGTTTTCAACATTAATGATAATAATAAGAAACACTTACCTTAACTTAACTTAGTAATGGCTGCTGGAAATTCAGCTTAGCTGACACAGAAATGAAGGACATTTCAAATACATTAAAATAAAAAAAAACAGTTATTTGGTCAATATTGTTTCTTCTGTATATTTTAATCAAATACATGCAGCCGTGGTCAGCATAAAAGACTTCTTTCAGAAGCATTAAATACTTACTGACCCCAGACTTTTGAATAGTAGTGCTTATGGCAGCCCTTTAATAACCCAACACATCTTTAGAACCCGAGTATCTCTGAATGACTCTGAATGAGCAGATCAGGTCATGACTAAAAACCACAATCATTTCCAGAGATCAAAGTCATACACCAATGAAGTCAAGACCATGACTGACAGTTGAAAGATGGGAAATAGCCCATCTCGGTATCTCTGCATTGTCTAGTTTAGTGTTATTAACCCAACCGAGACAGCAACCTTTTTATCTGTAGGAAATATGAATCCACAAAGACCTTCAATTCCAGCACTAATAGATCTTCATTGCCTATTGAAATATAAATACGGCATTGTGCAAGACAGACTTAAGTGCTTGAATATTTGTAGGCCATAATAATTAACAACAGGCAAGTAATAGGCTGCATTTGTTCATGAGGGCTATCGAATCCTCTGAGCTCACAGGCTTTGAAAAATGAAGTGGCATTATGTTGGCTAAACAATGTAAAGATACTTTTGCCAAAATTTGACTTCATAAATAGGGGGAATTTTCTTGTTGACTACATACAGCTAGGCCGTCTTTGTTTCTGCTTAGAAACCTTCCACAGCACATAAATGAGCATGTACACAAACACAAAAACATATAAGGCAATATGTTGCCAGACACAGGTAATAGACGAATGTTCTCAAACTAAAGTACAGTTAATAGAGCCATGTTTTCAAACTAAAAGACAGGTCTGCATTTGTGCACACCAAATACACATTCATTGAGGCCATTTAAGCAGAACTGAACATAGAAGACATAAAGGAGAACATTTCATTAGCTTGCCTTGTATCCGTGGTCAATGAGCCACTAAGATGTGGCCCCAAACACACACCGATGAACAAATGAACCCTGTCCGGCCATTGGTTACATAACTAGCACTAAACAGCCATCAGACGTTAAGTCTGTACCCCCTCATGCTGGCAATAATTCACTCTTCTTGTTCCTAACCACATCTAGCTCAGACTGACACAATACCTGCAGTTATCTACGGATGACATCTGACAGTGGATAGAGGCTTCAGGCCAGTTACAGGCACTAAATATCGGATATCCCACAGAAACTACAGCATTACATAAAACACTGGGCTCTGCTCCCATTAGCCATCTTAAAACTGTTAAAATGGCAAAAGAGAAGCACTACAGAGAGATTAAGTACAAAATTGTAGGAACTTTCTTGCTTAAAAGAAGTATATTTACAGTGATGGTCCTTAAGCCATATGATATTTTTTTGGGATGAACTCAGACTGAAATTTATTTCATTGTTCAATGTTTTGACATTTACTCTATCCTTAGTGCAGTCATGAAATAAAAATGACAAAAGCACTAGACAAATTACTAACACTAAAAAAAAGAAAAGAAAACTGAAAACATTAAAACAGAAGCTAATTCTAAATATTAGTAAATACTATAATAGTATATAATTAATACTAAAAATAACACATCTAGTTCATAATAGCAAGAATAAGACCTATCCAGTACTGTTCAGCTCAATCCCATTTCAGCAGATGACAGCCCACAAAGCTATCATATGACTTCAAAAGATGATGCTGCTTTTAGGGTGCTGTTTAATTTTTTTTGATAATTCATTCAAACTGCACAGAAAGAAGCGACCTGTACATTATAACAATTTTCATTTTGTGGGAACTATATTATTTAGAGAAGCTTCATATATTATAATATTTCAACAAGTAACATTTTTGAAACATGCTCATACTATCAAACTTGACAACAGAGCAATACAGAGGCAGTAAATGTTTATGTAAAGCACACAGACACCCAGGAAGTAAAACAACTACAGAAAGCCCCCTTAAACACAGATTAGCCTACTAATTATCACTGTTTTATCTTTTGCAAGATGCAAAAATGCAAGATTAACAACACAGATACTAACCTGAGCTATCACAACATAAAAAGGGCATTACTGATTCTGCTAAATTGTAAAGTCAGCATAAGCAATTTCTTACACTTCTAGTCTCAGTTTATTATTTGAGCGAGTAAATATGCCTAGATATGATAGAAGCTTCAGTACAGAGGTGATCCATGCATACAGCAGCTCATAAATGAGGTCATGCACCTGATTGTGAGGAAAGCCATTCAACCATCATCATTACGTAAGAGCTAGCCAGCACGCTATCCACACCTTGTACTCACCATATTACAGATGGAGGCGATGTTTCTGACAGTCATTTAGTTTATAATGTGCCCCTTGTTGCCATCTTTATGAAATAAACATGACTGTAACAGCAGTACACTGACAGGCCAAGCCGCAATCCCAACCGAGGACAGCAATCAGTGACCATTCAATCCCCTCTGCTCATGCAAAGTGCAGACAACGCGAGAGATAAACGTCTGCAGCTTTCATCTAGTTGTTTTCTTCATGGTCACTGCAACTAAGAATAAAAATGCAGAATATATTTATTGTAAACATCTTTGCCAGTTGTACGGACTAAACAAAACATTCACATCCTGGATTAGCGGTCAAACCCCGCCCACTTGGACGCAATTGGTGCATTTGGGTCTACGACATGAAACGCTACTCAGTTGATTGACAGATCGAGTCACCAATGAATGTCGAAAACATGCGTTCGAACTATCGTTGTGGCCAATAGAATTTGTAGATGCACAATTCACAACTCCACAGTACATTTAAACCGCATAAATTAAGTTTGAGGACATTGCAACGCTACTCTTGTGCATTCCATACATTTATGCATTTAAATAATATTAGGCCCCAGTAGTTTAAATGCGAAAGTATAAAAATAATTTCTCGAGTAATAGTTTGTGAACATAGTGTTAGTGTAGAGTCTTTTTTTAAAACACCGTCTCATATGCCCTGCTGATATTTTACCGCTAGACTGAGATTAGAGTTGAATCTTTTTCCATAACTGTTGGAGTGATTTGTTCATCAATCAGACAGAATCGTCCGAGCGTTTGTAGGAGTCGTTTTTATTTTTTCGAATGAACTACTAGAAAGAGCCGATTCGCTGGAATGAACGGTAGGCGGTATTTCCGGTCCTTCCCCTTTAAATATCCCAGAATTCCTCGCAGCGGCGGTCACACGTGTTCATTGCTTCTTGCACAAGATCACGCAATCGGTAGGAGACAGCATGAGCGGGTGTAGTATGGGTATTGGTAAGTGTCTTTGTTCAGATATTTGTGTAGTTTCTTATTTACCTGAAGCTATGCTTTGTTTTACAAAAGCATAGTAAAACGAAGCTATGCTTTGTTTTACATGTTGTGCTTACACATAAGCACAACATATACACGTCGGGTCGCAAATAGTCAAGTTTAGTTTATCAGAACAGTTAACTGAGCTTTATAAGTGTATAGAAAGGTAGTAAAATAATTCTCAGAGTAAAACAAAAGATGCTCTATAAAAGTGTTGTACAGCTTGCTGCCAAGCCATTATCATAACTATTGAAATATTAAGTTGTGGCGGAAGGCCACGTGTGGCCGTGGCTCGAGAACAGAACGCACGTGGTGAATGTAAGGCATGTCTGTCTGCCTGCTGATGTTGATTGCATCTCTTTTCTTTAATAGATTGTCCATCTAAACCCCCTGACTGAAGAAACTTTTAAAGCTTCTACGATGTTTTACCTATAAAGGTAAGGAAGGGTTTATTAACTATTTAAGATTCTCATTCATTAACAAAAATGGTTAGAGAAACTTTCAGTCATTACTGTAGATCTTGCTAAAAGGAAAGCAGTAAAATTAGTATGTTTGTGTGTATTTTGATTACTTGTGCCCTTTTTTGTTTTTTAATGTCTAGGCTCAAATATTTTCAGCTGTGAGGCAGCGGCTACAGTTGTGCTGAAGAATCCTTCTCTAACTGTTACTTGGTAAGTGGTTTAATTAAACAATTTTTCTAGTTTTGTCAGCCCCTTTTATTGCACATTCAAGTCCTATTATGTCTTGAATGATCGACACGGGGGGGCTAAATGAAATCTCTCAAAAACCTGAAGTATTGGCTTAATAATCCTTGCTTTGGATCCTGTCGGGAGAAACATGTGTATGTGTATGTGTATATATGCATGTATGTGTTATATATATATATATATATATATATATATTTTTTTTTGTAATCGTTAGCCTTGCTAATTGTGTTTAAAGATGCTCGATAATCAGTCTAAATTTGTATTTTGCAGCTAATGGCGGAGAATGTAAGAACTACAGTCATTAGGTGAGTAACTTGTTCTCATCAACACTTTCATGCAACCAGTTTGATCTAGTCATGTTCCCTCCTATGCTTTGCCCACTGGAGGCTGTCTGTGTTTCTAGTGGCCATATCAGGGGGGTACAGTGAGCTACTCTTGCTAAAACCTGGGTCAGAGGTCACTTCTCTGTGCCTGGATCCTGTCGCAAGACACACGCAAATATAAGAATTAAATGCAGGCAATGTTTAAGTAACCTGGTTTGTCTGAGTTTCAATTTAATTAAGGTTTTTCCTCTTGACAGATTCCATTGATGGCTTCATTTTGGGGCACATGTATTCGGTGACTGGTTGCTTGTTCATCGGCAGTGATGCAACTTGAGTAGAGCTAGTTTTATTGCTGTGTTTGGAGAACATCTGAAATGAGTGGTGGTGTTTGTTGTTAAACCATGTTTGTATTGCATAAATGTTTATGCATTGATTGTTACCAATAAAGAAAGATGCTTGCTTGTAATTTTTTTTTTTCTCTCGTTCTTAACATCGAGTCATGGATCATGATCCTTGGAGGAAGGTATTTACTGTCTTGGCCATGACTTGTGTATATATAGCATGGGTTCTATGCCTTTTGTTTCCTTGGAAGAAACCTCTGCAAATTAACTATTTAGACTATCTGTCTAAGTCTTTGGAGTTTTAACTACTGATGCTTTTGCTGTCATTCAAATGGGAGATTTGTAAATCAAATCTGTTTAGAGTTGAGTCACTAATATCTCCATGTAAGTCTAAGACAAAGTGGTGTATTAAGTTTTATTTCAAGGCATAAGATTCTAGAGTCAAATGTACTTCAAAGTGATCTAGATTGTCCTTTTGCTGGAGGATGCAGTGGTTTTTACCTGGTTTTACTTTGTAACCCGGATATTACACTGTATATTGGTGGACAATTGATTCTGCATGTTAACAATTAAATTATTTTAGAATTAATACTATTAATTACATAGACTCAATATGAAGAATTTGAAACCTCATCATGCTTGGTTTTTGCACTTGCTGAATTTTGTTGGTTTCAGCAGTATTTGGCACCATACAAAGGATGCTGTGTTTGGACTGCTTAAATCATATTTATCATAATTTCAACTGAACCTGTAATTAATGTAATCTGCAGTGGCTGTATTATTTTGAAGGATGTAACTTTTATATAATCATACATGATTAGCTGCATTTTTTTTCACATTCATTGTTTTTCCCTGCTATGGTTGACCGTCAGAACTGACCCATGACCCATTTTTGGAACCTGAGCTGCTGCTGAAATAGTGATGTAAGTTTCAATGCAGATGTTACAATAACAGGACTTCTAAATTTCAGCACCCAATAAGGGGATATTAAGAACATTAACTAACACCGCTCCAGAGCTGCATAGCACAGCCGCTTGCGTTTTCCACACATGGAAAGCGCCTGTTGTACAACAGAGCTCTGACACATGGCCATATAGGTAAGTCCCTTCAGTGTAGTACCCTCCTCTTGTTTCAAAGCATTCTATTGGCTAGTGCTGCAAATCAGTACAAAACAAACAAAACCACTACATTTGCTGGTGGATATTTCACGATAGTACTGGAGTATTTAATAATGTATGAACATGATTCATAAACCTCATTTCATTGCTGGGTGTTTCTTTATCTATGGCCATTAACTATTTAATTTGTAAATTTACAATGTCCAACAGTAGACATACATGCATTACGGGAGCTTTCTGTCACATTTGTCATTTTTTTGCCCTGTAAAATTAAAAAAATTCCAACCAACCACAGTACAATTTACAGTACAAAAGATACACTCAGCTACATACAAAAACAAGAGGGTTGTCATGTTAAATAACATTATTCATGCTCAATAAATTTGATTAAAAAAAAGCAACATAATGCATTTATATGCATGCTTCATTCTGTGTTGACGCAAGTTTTCTAGAGGGAGGTATAACTGACGACACTATGGAAAATGATATTAAGACAGAATGAACTGATGTCTGCATAACTGAATGACACTAGTTTGGTTATCTAACATGCAGGGTGAAGTGCAATTTATGGGCACAGAAGTGATTAATGGCTAAATTACACAGGCTGATTCTTTAGTTCAGACTGGTTCTTTTACCATTTTATGCGTTATGAATTTCACTGTGATTGAAGGAACAGACAGGAGGAAGAGGAAATTACTTTAAAAAAATTATTGTAATGGAGATGTTACTAAGGTAGTGAACAATGACTTTTTTTTTCTTTGAGGAAACCACAGGTTTTGCACAAATGCATGAGCACAGCACCCAAACGCTTTAAGATTCAGCATGCCTCTGCACAGGAAGAAAACTATTCTACTATTCATCCAAGGAACGATACTATATTTTGAATTTCTTGCCACAGAGGGCTAGTGATGGGCCGATGCAGATAATGTTGGATGTTGCAGAATATTCCAATGGTCTGTTTAAGCGTTTCATGATTGGCGAGTTTTCACTTGCTGTGGTGTACTTGTGAATCACTTACAATAGACACATAAACAATTAAGATGTCTGGAAACACTGTGCCTCAGTACAAGTTGTTTTTAATTGGCTTGATTGAGTAATGGACCATAATTATGAACCGTTGTGGATTTTGTTCTTCTAAACGTTGTGAATGTAGCTTTGCACTCTGAGAGCAACAAACACATGAAATTTAAACCCAAACAAGAACATTGTGATCTATTTTTGGCTTGTGCCATGGATGGAGGGATTGAAGAGTTGGGCCATACTCACATGATTGCGATTGGATATGAACAGAGTGCCAGTCGGCTGTCTTCCAGGTCCGTGTCTGGTTATTTTGATGTGAGATGTGAAATGTGGTTCAGGGTTAGACAGTACGGGCCACATTCAGATAGAGCTACATGTTTTTTGGCAGAGAGAACTGTTCCTGAGGAAAGGGGTTTCAGGGCTGAACGACTTGGGACGTTTTTCAGAGAGGAACAACAAGATGTGTTTGGATAACACAGCAGTGAAAAACTACTACCCTTCATCAAGGGGTGCCACAGCAAGTATATTTATATACAGGCTCCTTTGTTTTGGATGCCCCAACATGAGATGCTGGTATGCTTGGTCATCCAGTTTCATCAGAAAGACATTTTTTTACTGGACCAGCTAGACTGAACTAGCATAAACCAGCTTGTACCAGGCATCACATAAATAAAGTCTCTCACTGTCTCTAATACAGAAACATACTTCCTCCTTTCCCGCTCGCTGTCCTTATCTGTCCCTTTGTGTTTCTCTCACATGAATGATGATCGCTTTCATCTAGTGCAACCCACAGTTTTACATATTCTCTGTCAAACGCACACACAAGCCATTTGAAGTCTGCTGGTAAATGGAGAAAAAGCTTTCTGACCTTCTCCAGGTCACTGTTGGAACAAAGAGCTGAATTATGTAGGATCCTTTTACATTTCTCAGGACAAAACAAAAATTCATCTCACTCAGTGGATCTCTGTCAGACATACATTTCACCTCATCTTGCTCTAGCAGAGGTATGGCTGTGGGCAGACAGTATATGTGTGTGGACAGATGCCATACTGTTCTTTAAACTGTTTTGTTTCACTTTTTCAGACTGGTATGAACCAGGTTTCTTTGTCACATTTTGCATACTTCGGCAATACTAGTAGTGTAAGCAGTGTGAGCAGTATATTCACACTCCGATGATGTAGGCCACAATACTGGCCTGAGAAAATATTGTTTGGAACTTTTATGAAGAAGACAGCATCTTACAAATAAGTTTAATGCTTTATCATCACCTCATATTGTGTGATTTATTTGCATGTACAAAATGCACAATAATCCCTCATGTGGATCTTGGTCTCAGTTTAAGCTAACATGCTAACGCTAACAGCGACAATAAATAAGAGGATATGCATTTGATGTAATTTCCCTTAATTGACAAACAGTAAAAGTTACTTTGTAATAAAAAAAAGCTCCATTCTTTAAAAATTCACAATGGCAGACACAGTGTACCCTTGCGAAAATTAACCATGGTTTTATTATAGTAAAAGTGTGGTAACCATGTTTTTTTTGACGTATTGATTACATTTGTATAACCACAGTTTTACTACAAATACCATGGGTAAACTATGGTTAGTGTAGTAAAACCATGTTAATTTTCATAAGGGTTGCAGTGGGTTATTAGAGGGGCCTTAGATATTTAATTAATTAAATTATTTTAACTTTAACTAAAAATTTAAATACACAAAATTAAGATTAAATCATATTTTAAATCATATCTTCCCCCTTCATTTTTCTTCTCATTATCTATTGTTTTTATTGAAGATATATAATTCTTGAAAATTAAATCTGGATTTAAAAAAATTAACCTGGGATAGTGATTTAATTTCAACACTCAGCAAAAAAATTATATAACTTATAATATAATATAGCTTTGTCATAACTACAGCAGCAATACTATAGAGGAAATATCCTAACCAATATAATGGTAGATGTTCAAACAACGTGTTGGATGATAACCTTCAGAAACACTGGTATATAGTGTAAGTGCAGTTTATGTATATGCATATATTTATATGGCAGTAATAGTATGGGCAGTATGTTATTCTGAATTGAGCCAGTGCATAATGTATACTTAGGCCTACCAGGGTTCATGTGACCAAGTCATTTAAAACTAAGGTGAACTAAACTTTAAAAAACATAAAAAAAAGATTTCCAGGGCTTTTATGTCATAAAAGAGCCAAAGTTGAGACGTTGAGATTTACTTTCAAGTGTCTGGCCTAGAAAGTGAGAGATGCTGCCAGAACGAAAGGTCCAAAATGCAGGGCATTAGTAAGCTCTGTCAATCATGAGTAATGTTGAGACTCTGTGTATGTTAAACATGTGGTTTTGATTTTATGTTCTGTACCTTCTCACAGACGCTGATTGTTCAAAGGAGCAGAATGCAGGGAAAACCACATTTAGTCATAAGAAATTTGGGTCCAGCTTGGGACATTGAGCACTCCAGCACTGTGGATTACCCATGAATACTCTTAGACTTACACATCCTTTTAACTGTTTAACTTGCTATTTACATTAACACCTCAGATTCTGATTTAAATTGTTCATAGTTTCTGCTTTTGCCAAGTGTTGTTGTAGATTCAGGTATTCAGTAAGCTTGAGCGGTTGTTCAGTCCATCTCACAACTTGAACATAAAAATGTCTGCCAGCCTTTCAGGAAATTAATACGTTAATGTCATTATGTGTACTGTATTTAATCGGTCAGCACTGGCCTTCCGTACTATGGCCTTGGGTGAAATATTGCAGGTAACAGAAAAAATGACACGTTTATAAAATGAAATGATCTGAAACTACATTTGTTTTTGCAGTGAATTAACTGACTGCATGAGGACCAATAGAGTATAAAGTCTGCAAAATGGCCTACAGATGCATGAAGAATCTGACCACCGATGGATATGTTTGTGATGATGCAACAAAATTCACACTCTTCATAGCGATGAAGCAAATCTTTTTCT